TGTAACGGCGTCTCTCCTTGACCATTTGTAATGGTTGCTCCTGCTCGATATTTCATTAGTATAATTGATGCATCCTGAATTCAAAACAAATAGATTTTACTTTTGTGAGACTGATTTTAGTACTCATGCACTTGAAAAAGTACTGATACGTCCACACATTCTGAGAAATCCATTTTCTAATCAATGCACAGTAAGCAGGATAAAGGACCCTCGCTACTGCTGAATAATTCAGCGACGTCGTCCTCCTCCCTTTTCAGTTATTCACAAATGTTAACCATCATTTGTGCAGCTTCTAAAGCTGTCACCCCTGAAGACAAACAAAGATCACTGACGTACCTTCACGCAACCCTTGCAAGCTGCATAATGGAGTGGAGTGTTGCCAAGACGATCCTTTGCACGAATAAGAGAATTAGCTTTCACGTCCTGAGAATAAACAGCATTGGACGATTAAAAATGGCAACTGGTAACGGACTGCTGTAACAGCACTCTGTGAGGCACTTGACGCTTTACTGATAATCAGGAAACATCATCAAACTCTATGATAATGTCAGCACCCTCCACTCTGCAATGTTACGTTTCTTTTGTTTTAGTAACACGCCTTTGTATCGTGAACTAGTTTATATGTAATTAAGAAATGGAAAACATGTACCATGTTTCACAATTAAATTGTGAGCTCGAGATTTCTATCTCGTGATAGTTGACGAGGGCGCAGCCCGAGTCAACTATCACGCGTAGAAATCGAGAGAAATTGTTTTGGTATAAATCTACTAGTCGTTCACAAATTTATCTAAATCCTCTTCACAGACACTTCGAAAACGCCAAGAAGCGGCCGTCATTTTGTTAACAACGGCACACTGCTGCGCTACTCACTATCTATCACAGAATAGATAGCGAGTAGCTTAGCGAATAAGAGAACGGCATTCGTGATGGAACGCTAGTGGATTTGTTAGAAACACGATTTTTAACCAATCGGCGCGCGTATTTTCTTAGGACTGTTTTCTAACAATGGTAAACACTTACCTTTAAGATTTCCTTGACAATATCAGAACTTCCGATAGCGTAGTGCAAAACGGTTTTATTCTCAGAGTCTCGGACATCCACATTAGCTTGGTTCTCAAGGAGGACTTTGGCGGTCTCATAACAGTTGCACTGTGCAGCGAGCATCAGTGGCGTTCGACCCTCGTAGTCCGTGGTGTTAATTTGATCCACATCCTAAAAGCCACAAACCAGTTAAAATTTAAAATCTGTGGCCCATCGATCTGAGAGTTAACTCCGGTCTCTTAAGCATAAATTAACGAGGAGCATAGCGACTTTTCCTGGATGGACTGCGCCCCCGATTACCGGTTACTCCTCCCGGTGTTTACCTCAGTCTTACAGTTTGTCGAATCCCATATATATTCTCGAGCAGAGAGACATTGCTAGAGACGTTGCCTGCCAAAAAACACAGCATGAAAATCATGGGCAGGAATTCAGACTTCTTTAGCTGAAACCCAGTAAACCAAAACTCTCAAAATGATATTTAGGATCTCAAGGAACATTGCCACAGAAACTTTAAATACCTTTATCTAACTACTTACCTGTCTGAGAAGGTATGAGATCACTTCTGCATGATTTGATTGCGCGGCCCTGTGGAGCAAGAGTATAGGACAGCGACATCAGTGAATTACGTTCCAAAGAAACTGCTGAAGTCCAGTAATTATATTGTGAATTGGGAATTTTTAAAAGCAAAAACACAATATGCAGAGGGCTGGGGTTTTTTACTTGAACTGCAATAAAAGATGAGAACTAGATGCAACTGACAAGTGTCTTACTTGTGAATAGGCAGCATTCCATCTTGATCTGGAGGCGGGTCCAAGATAAACGCAACGGCCTTCATCAAAATATCCAGGATGTCCATGTACCCGTATGAGGAAGCCAGGTGAACAGGTGTGCTACCGTCAGATGACTACAATGAACACGGAGTCGATTTGTATGTATAAAATTATGCTGGAATCTATAGAGCCGTTTCGAAAATGAATTTTTCATATCAATTAAAACCTCACAACCAAAACTGATGTTTTCAAAGCTCGCAACCAACGCAATCCACATCTACCCTCCATCCATCTGATCACAATACACCCAAACACCACAATGAACGAATCAAGGGCCGTAGCAAAATCTTGAAACCAGTGGCAAGCCCGGGAAAACTCGCGAACTCAAGTTTTGGCTCCACTTTGTACCTGGTTGCCACAACTGAATGAAAATTGCTATTAATAAAAATAGTTCTCGATTGTTGGAAGTTGTGCCTTGCGTCAGTATGTTATTCTTACAAGCCTCGTAATGTAAGGGAATAAGGCCTCAGATGATTTTAAAATTTCGTGCAATTTTGCAAAAGTTAATTTCTATTTAACAGTTCTGTGTTTGGACATCTAACCTTTACTGAGTTCGGTGCCGCTCCCTCGTCCAGACAAAGTTCAACAACCTGTTAAGAAACGAACGTTAACCATTAAAAGAACAGCTATACACCATGTAAATTTATTAAAACTAAGGCACATCACGAGGCTGTCTAAATAGGCTTGAGTGTCGAGGGTGCGTCCAGTGGACAAAAACCATCTAAAGTCAAAAGAAGTTCTTAACACGCTTTGAAATGGCCGTCAAGCCAACATATGAGGGTAGTATTTATCATCAATTGACAAACGATGGTCTTAATGGTTTGGTTAAAGCTCTCGCAGTTTACGAAATATAAGTTAAACAGTCGACTGCCAGACTTATTTTTCGATCAAGTTTTGTCAAGTCAGACAATCGTCTAAGGATGACGTTTAGTACCTTGGCCACGCCACTTTCTACCGCCAGATGAAGCAGTGTGCTGTCAGTGTTATCAACGTGATGAAGGATGTCATCACGGGGAATTCCTTGGCCTTTTGCTGCAATTAAGGTTATAATCTAAAATGTTTAATGATTTCACACTATTTCTTAACAAGTTGTTGAACTTTGTCTGGAGGCATACTTTGTCAGGACGCAGCGTGGCCGAGTGGTTTAGGACGCTGGTGTTGTAATCCGGAGGTCCTGGGTTCAAGGTCTCCACCCTGCCACTAACGGGATTTGTTTCTCGGTAGTCCCGAGTTCAAATCCTCGGCCACGCTTTGTAAGTAGCCAACTGGTCTGCCTCCTGCCAGTTGGGATGTTTAACTATGTTTTGTTTATTTGAAATATTTGTTTCCTTTGTTTCAGTGGCATGCCTGTAAACTAGCTAAGCTTAGTGCTTGTATAGCTAAGTGCACGACCACTATAAATAAGATTGAAATTTTACATTTTTTACGTCATTGAATTGTACAAACGTTCAAGTACTTTCTAGTACTTTCTTGTTTGTTCTACGGCGGAACAACTTCTTGCCAGGTGTTTTGTGAAAAGGTCATGAAAGCAAGTTTCAACAAAGTAGTTTAACTCGTCCTTGACCCTTTCCTGCCGAATTCAAGCCATATGTTAACAAATGATTTTACCTCTGCTCAGCATAAACTATCAAAATGTCATGATCGCACTAGAGCAGCCCACTTTAGCCGCAGTTAAATATTGGCTAGTGTAATGAGCACATTCTTAAATTATTTTATTTTCTTAGCAACATCCTAGGGCCAGAGACAAGATTACACAGAGAGGTCCAACAGCGTTACTAATACCGTAAGTACGACGCATGATATTACTCACAATAATGGAACAAGCAGACCATGATGTCATAACAGCCGTGCAAGGCAGCATGGGCAATAGGCGTCATGTTCTTATGATCACGTGCTAGAATCTTGGCATTGTGTTGTAACTGTACATCAGAGAAAGGAGAAGCTGAAATTGCTGAATAACTACAAAGCTAAATTACTTAAGTAACATAAGCCTCAAAATACTTTTGGAGGAGGATGATAATTAACACTGCTTAGAAGGATATATTTAATAAAGTGGAACACAGCATATATTATTAACTATAAAAGAAGATGAAGATCATTAAAAAGACGTACACACACATAGACAGTAAAAGAACTCATAATTCTATAGAAAGTTAGTTTTCTCATACAGGACCTTGTATCAAATTCACCAAAAAAAGCCATCAGTATAACACTGAATTGAAAGCTTAAGGTTAAATTAATGAACACAAAACAGATGTATTGATACCAGTAGTTTACAAATAGCGACGCTGTTGGCGTGATCCAGATGAGCTGCAATGTGCAGTGGAGTGCATCCTGAGTTTCCGACAGCATTTGGGTTGGCATGACCGTCACGCAACAAGGCCTAAAATGGCAGGAGGCCATACTAAGTTACAAAACATTTAATAAATGCAACTGCATGGCATTATAACAAACTAATTGAATAGGATTCTAGCCAGACGGCATTCATTTTTCGAGGACAAACACGTGACTATTGTCACAGGCCAACCTTTGTTGGAGTAAAGAACAGAGGAATAATTATATCTTTTTACTTGAAGAGAGGGATCCTGAGTAGTGTAATTGCACTGACCGTGTGAGGTTCGTTTCAGCCTATCAGAGTCCTCGATTCACACCCTTGCCGTGGCGCTTGTCTTGCATTTGTGGGCACGAAGCGTATGCTCTCAAAGTGGTTCTGAAGCTCAACCCCTGAGTATAGTATAACTGGGTACTGGCAGAGTTTTTAGGAGAGGGGAGGGTGGGTAGCTGGTGATCTTCCCATTACAGAGATCAGTAACAAAGCACCCATGTACGTGCTGTTGCTTCCAGTTCTTAGCACTAGAATGGGCTTAATCTGACTTGCACTAACCAGAACAATGTCGAGGTTTCCAGTCCTGGCCGCAGTGTGTAGCGCGGTGTCATCTCTGTCGTCATGGGCATCCACGTCAGGCCTGTAGCGCAGCAGACACTGAACGATATCAAGCTTCTGAGCCCCCACTGCACAGTGCAGTGGAGTTTTACCGTACTCGTCATGCGCATCAATGTCTACAAGGAAATTTCCAAGAAATAACTACCTCTCTATAACATTTGAAAACTGCATGACATAGTCGCTATTTTTAAGGCAAGCTGCATGGTCGTGAACTGTCATTGGCTGTTTTATAGCCAATGATGTGAAATAGCGTACGCAACAATGCCAGTTGGTATAATGGAGTACTGATATAAGCCAATATTTCTGCCAATGCGCTATAAATGAGTGTTGTAATGCAGGCACAACATGTTATGTGTATTTTGTTGAGTAAGTAACGTGTGCGTTACATACATTTGTCTGTAATGTTTTTTTTCCGCGAACCGCGTCTACCCAGCCAAATTACAGACAAATGAATGGAAAATTAGAAAAATTGCTGCATCCTTCAAACTTGGTTCGAAGCATATCACCTAGCTAGGTGATATGCTTCTGACTTGTTGAATACAATCTACTACTTAGTATTTTAAAGTTGCGATTCACAAATTGTATCAGGAGCCATAATCGGGGACGGAGACCGTAAGCGCGCGCCAGTTTTAGTATTAGGGCTGTCCCCATGATATGGGACAATTTTTCTATTTTTAGAACAAATAATTGCGCCATCGCCTGCAGCCCACGCGCGTACATGCTGCGAGGATTTTTGCGGATGTCGCGCGGGGGAA